ACATCAAGGTAGGTTGTCCGAGCCGCCCGTCGCCACGGCGACGAGACGTGCTGACTCACATCAAGGTAGGTTGTCCGAGCCGCCCGTTGCCAAAGCGACGAGACGTGCTGACTCACATCAAGGTAGGTTGTCCGAGCCGCCCGTTGCCACGGCGACGAGACGTGCTGACTCACATCAAGGTAGGTTGTCCGAGCCGCCCGTCGCCACGGCGACTCGGCCGCTGACTCGAGCTTTTCTGAGCTCTGGCGTCAGTGTGATCCCTAATGAACAAAAAATTGTGTCAACTTGTTGTAATTAATTCGGTGTGGCGCTGATGGCGTGTGTGTGTGTGTGTGTGTAGGTTTAAAAAGATTTGCTCTGACATCTGGCAGCTGCTGGCTGATGAGCGCAGGCTGCCTGTGTTCTAATTGGCTCGGCTCGGTTGTTAATGAATCATTACTAATACACTACTAGTATTACGCATTATACATTATACATTATAATTACACATTATACACTACCCGGCACGTGGGCCCGGGGGAGGGGGGGAGGCACTCGCATCAGAACTGGGTAGGGGGGTGCCTCGGGGACCTTGAAAACCTGACCTTGTCGCAAACCGCTTTGCGCCCTAAAATACACCCTGTCCCAATATACTGCACTGAAAATTATACCCTGTTGCAATATTGCACACTTCGGTTATGTCCTGTCCTCCTGTCAGTATAGGCAGATTTTGTTCCAATATTGGCCTGGTGATATTGGCCCAATATTGTCTTGCCGATATTGGGCCGATATTGAACCAATATCTGCCTATATTGGTCCAATATTGGCCTGGTGATATTGGCTCAATATTGTTTTGCCAATATTGGGCCAATATCAGCTTGATGGGTGGTATCTAGATATCCCTGTGCCAATAATGATGTTCGGAAAACATACCCTGTCCAGCGGCACGTCCCCAGTACCTTTAACAATGAGAGTGCCCCCCCCCCCCTGGGCACGTGGGCCTTCCCCCGTCTGTCACTGAATACATTCGTCTAATTTAGGCTGACATTTTAATAGCCGATGCAGTTTAATGCCTTCCTATAAAGACCATGCCTGTATACTATACCTTTTCTAGCCTTTCTACTTCTACTTGTGCACTTGTATACTGTTGCTCTGCCTCTACTCCTGCCTGTCTGACATGCCTGCCTCGTTATGTATTGCGTTCCACGAAAAAAAAGTTCGTAATGCGAAAATCCGTAACGCGGAAATCTCATTTTCCCCTAATTGAATTCCGTTACATAATTGGAGGTACGTGAAATTTTTTCAGATAAAATGTGTACTAGAAGAACACTGAATGCAACTACACATTTTTTTAAATGCATATATTGGTTACTTAATGACGTGACAGTATGATAATACAGGGGAGCAAATTGGAGTCACTAGGAGGGGAGAGGGAGCGGCGAGCGCGCACTATCACCAGCTGGCGTAGGTTTGTTTGTGTGCTTCAAGCACCGCTAACTTCAAGGAGGCCAAAATTTATCTAAAAAAGCCAGTTGCTGTTTAGGGCGGGCTGTAGCAGCTGAAGTCGTTGCGGCATTGAAACGATACGGGACGCAGGGGGTAATGATGGCAGGGGCACGCGCGCATTTCATGAACAGCGTAGGACAAAATCTATAATGCGATATCGAGGTACGCTAAACGTACCAGAGATGAACCGCCCGATCCGTGTTGGCGGGCGTGGCGACTGCATATTAATTTAGCACATAAATTTTATTTACAGTGATTGAGCACGCCACCTTTTGTGTTAAATGACCCGCTAAACCTTTTTCAAAATTCCGTAAGGGCGATTTGCGTTTCCTAAAACCGAGTTTAGTGCTGATAGCTTGCAAATTATCGTCATGGGCGAGTTGTCGTGCCCCAGAGTTGCGGTTGTTATTTTAAACTAACGCTTGTGAAACCACGTAAGGGCGAATTTGTGTAACCCAAGTTGTCGTAGCGCGTGCTGGGGGTATTACCGTACTTCTCAGTGGAGGATGCAGGATTTCAAGGAGGGTGAGAAACAGGCAGGGGGTATGGGGGTCCTCTAGAAAATTTTGAAAATGCAGATCGCAGGAGATGGTATTTGAGGCACTTTTGAGTACATGTACAGCCTTCATTCTGGCTACGACAATTCTCTTTTTAGTAGAACAATTCTCTTTATGATCAACAAGATGAAATCACTAAAAATTACTATAACTATAAGTTCTGCTGCTGTTGCCGACACTGACACTCTTGCATCTGTTCTTGCGACCGCATTTCAGCAACCGGATCTCAGTGACATAGTGCTGCCGCCGAAGCAGAAGAAGTTTGCCGGCTACTACAAGATCGCGCGGCACTACCGCTGGGCGCTCAACCAAGCGTTTCACGAGCTGAAGTATGACACGGTCATCATCGTCGAAGGTACGCTGATCGCGCGCGAAAAGCCGAGGGCAAGAGACGGCGTGCGCGCAAACAACGGATCGATTGATCGATCAATCAGTTTGATCAATCGATTAGGTATGGTCGAGCGAGGAGAATCGGCGGATGTGTGAGAAGGAGCGCATTTGACTCTCGCTTGTCGGCGTCGCTGTTGTCACGCGATGATGGCGCTGATGACCTTGGAACGTTTCAGACGACCTTGACGTCGCGCCGGACTTCTTCGAGTACTTTGCGGCGACGTATCGCGTGTTGAAGGCAGACCCGACGCTGTGGTGCGTGTCGGCATGGAACGACAACGGCAAGCCGAGCCTCATTGCCAACGACCCTGGTACGTGTGGCTCTACTGAGTGTGTGTGTGTGCGTGCGTGCGTGCGTGTGTGTGTGTGTGCGTGCCTGCGTGCGTGTGTGTGTGTGTGTGTGTGTGCGTGCGTGCGTGTGTGTGTGTGTGTGTGTGTGCGTCTGAGTTCGTACGCACGTGTGCGTGTGTGTATGTCTGTGCGTGTGTGTGTATGTGTATGTGTATGTGTACGCGCGCATGCGTGCATGTGTGCGTGAGTGTGTGGCCCTATATTTGCCATTTGTGCCTCGTTTATTCTGGGCATTTTATCATAGTACAACTAACGAAGCTCGATCCCCATGAGCATCCTTCTACTACGAACTGTTCCCTGCTTTACATCCTCGTAAAACTTAGTAACGAAATATTCGACTTGTCTTTGCCGTAATCGCGTTTGTCCGATTCCAGAGCTACTGCATCGGACAGATTTCTTCCCTGGCCTCGGCTGGATGCTGCAGAAGAGCACTTGGTTAGAACTCGAACCAAAGTGGCCTATAACGTAAGCTGAGCACGACCGTGTTCACAGTCTGTACAAACGCACATTAGCGCACGCGATGCCATAGACACAAGCACGCACGCATGCAGAGACCACAAGCACGCCACGCATTCATCAGCACACAAGCACGCACGCATAGCCATAGACACACAAGCAAGCGCACGCAGCATAGACGACAAGCACGCACGCACTGACCATGACACAAGCCACGCACGGCATGCATAGCACACAAAGCACGCACGCACGCATGCATAGACACAAGCACGCACGCATGCATAGGACACCAACACGGCATCGCACGCATGCATATACACAAGGCACGCACGCCATGACATAGACACAAAGCACGCACGCATTGCATGACACAAGCACGCCACGCATCGCATGCATAGGACACAAATCACGCCACGCAATGCATAGACACAAGCACGCACGCATGCATAGACACGAGCCCACGCACGCATGACATAGGACACAAGCACGCACGCATGCATAAGACACAAGGCCACGCACGCATGCATAGACACAAGCACGCACACCATGCATACGAACCAAGCAAGCACGCAATGCATAGACAACAAGCACGACGCATTGGCATAGACACAAGCACCGCAACGCATGCAGATACACAAGCCACGCACGCATCGCATAACGACAAGCACGCACACATGCATACACACAGAGCACGCACGCATGCATAGACAGCCAAGCACGCACGCACGCGATGGCATAGACACACAGCACGCACGCATGCAAGACACTAAGCACGCACGCACGGCATGCCATAGACAAACAAGCCACGCAACGCATTGACTTAGACACCAAAGCACGACGCATGCCATAGACCAAGCACGCACGCATGCGCATAAACACAGAGCACGCCACCACATGCCCATACACAGGCAACGCACGCACGCATCGCATAGACACAAGCAACGCACGCGATGCATTACACCAACAAGCACGCACGCAATGCATTAGACACAAGCACGCAACGCACGCATACACACAAGCACGCACGCACGCATGCATAGACACAAGCACGCACGCACGCATGCATAGACACAAGCACGCACGCATGCATAGACACAAGCAGCGCACGCATGCATCAGACACAAGCACGCACGCATGCATACACACAAGCACGCACGCATGCATAGACACAAGCACGCACGCATGCATACACACAAGCACGCACGCATGCATAGACACAAGCAGCGCAACGCACGCATACACACAAAGCACGCACGCACGCATGCATAGGACACAAGCATCCGCACGCACGCATGCATAGTACAACAAGCCACGGCACGCAGTGCATAGACACAAGCACGCAAACCGCACGCAATGCATAGACACAAAGCCACCCACGCATGACATAGACACAAGCACAGACACAAGATAGACACAAGCACAGACACAAGCATAGACACAAGCACAGACACAAGCATAGACACAAGCACCACGATGCATAGACACAAGCACGCACCGAACGCATAACACCAAGCACGCACACAAGCATAGACACAAGCACGCACGCATGCAGAGGACACAAGCACGCACCGCACGCATACACACAAGCACGGCACGCACGCATGCATAGACACCAAGCACGCACGCACGCCATGCATAGCACACCCAAAGCACGCACGCACGCCCATGCATAGACACAACGCACGCACGCATGCATAGGACACAGCACGCACGCCATGCGGCCATAACACAAGCACTGCACGCATGCCATAGACACAAGCACGCACGCAATATGCATAGCACACGAAGCACGCACGAGTGCATAGAACACAAGCACGGCACGCATGCATCAGACACCAAGCACGCACGCATGCATGAGACACAAGCACGCACGCCACGCCATCAGACACAGAAGCCGACGCCGATGCATAACACAAAGCCACGCACGCATGCATAGACACAAGCACGCACGCACGCCATGCCCATAGACACAAGCACGCACGCATGCATAACAGCAACGACGCCACGCATTGCATAGCACACCAAGCACGCACGATGCATTACACACAAGCACGCACGCACGCATGCAGAGACACAAGCACGCCACGCCATTGCCATAGACACAACGCACGCACGCATGCCATAGACACAGCACGCACGCATGATACACACAAGCCACGACGCATGCATAGACACCACCGCGCGCGCTGCGTCGCCGCACACACACACACACACACACACACACACACACACACACACACCACACACACACTCACGCATACATGCACGCGCACGCACGCACGCACGCACGCACACACACACACGCACGCACACACGCATGGCAGCGCACACGTAACACTTCTCACGTTAATTTCGCAATAATTTCCCGGACTTTCGTTAAATGTGTGACATCAAAGGTTTCGCGTCTCGCACGCGCATTAAACGGCGTTGAATTATCAATGTATCGTTTTTTACGTGTTTCTGTGAAATACATGCTGAACTGCCGAATTTGCACGGACTTCTGCACTCAAAGGTGCCGAAGTGTGTCACTTAATGATGATCGATTTCAAAATTTGCCCCGTGTACACTCTTACGCTCTAGCTACTCTGTGTCGGCTTGCGTGTGACACGATTTATTCTGAGAAAATTTCATCGGGGGTTGACACCTCTGCAATACACGTTGCTGGGGTAGTATAATTGCCGTATATCTGCGTGCCATGATTCATAGACAGCTCTAACCAGTTAGCGTTGTAAGAGAATGTTGTAAAGGCAATGCTTAGTAACAAAGCACGGCGTAGTCGACATTTTTGCGTGTACACGCCTAATACTAAGTATAAATAAAGTGTGCTTGTCCAGCCGATCAACAATAAATATATCGAGGAAAAATGATGGTTATCTCGCATAGATAGATAAGTCAATTGCGACAGAATGCAGATGTTTATATCTAACTGTCATCGGTTTTACGTCTGTTACAATTCAGATCCTAGGGAAACTTCGCTCGATATCATCACTGCCGAATTTCATCACAAGTTTTCCTTCACTAGAACTCTGCGAGGGGCTTCGTTTAGCATGCCGCCGCGTTTCTCCTAATTTGTTTTTTAATTGCTAACTTCATCGGAAGCGACTTTAATGTAATTTTATGGTGAATGGAGTCAAATTGGTTTGAGCGTGCACAAAATTCTCCCTCAATAATCGCGATTGTACTAGCGATAACTCGATTGACAACACTAGGGACTTACTGCGGATTTTGACTTGATTTAATTACGGGCTCATTATTACAATGTCACAACTCCATTTCAGATTTTGGGACGACTGGATGAGGCATCCTGACCAGCGGAAGGGGCGTGCCTGCATACGACCTGAAATATCTAGGTACAGTGTGTTCTTTCCCTTACTATCTCTCTCTCTCTCTCTATCTATCTCTCTCTCTCTCTCTCTCTCTCTCTCTCTCTCT